CCTTTTGTTGAATGGAAAATAAAAACCAATCAATGCTTCGCTCATCAAGGTGTCAGGGACTTCCTCAGAGCTATTTAAATAAGATATCTTACGGTGAGCAAGAAGAAAGTACACCTGGGAGTTCTTTCTCTGTACTTTCCTCCCTTCCGGGTCAGGGGAGACAGCGATCGCATGGGCTGGGACAATGTCCACCGAGGTCCTGAGAGATCAAGGAGGTGACTTGAGCAGGATGTAAACCCTTCACCATTCTTGGGGAGCTGCTTTCTTTTAGACTTGGAGTTTCTGTCGTATTTCCCATTCTGATCTATGCAATGCTTTGGTCTTTATTTATTTGTTTTGATTTTTCTTTTAGATTCATAGGTTTAGCTGGAGTTGGGCACTGCATGAGAAATGAAGTTTACGCAGTTTATATTATGTACATAAACTAGTGATTTACATTGATTTACACATGATTGGTGCCTCATTTATTAATCAGCACACAGTATGTAAATGTGCTGAAAAGAAATCAAGATTTTCAAATAAGTTTCCCATAATATTCATAAACATTTCCACTGGTGTAAATGTTAAACCTAAACCTAACGTTAACCCCAGCCTCCTTGCCAAGAGGAAAATGATGTACATTGCTGGGTGAAAACAATTCTTCCTTTCAGTTGGTGACATTTGAACGGCCTGTAAATGAGAAGGGTGTACTTCCCTTCCGTGGTCGCTATGCACATGAATGTAAACTCCATTTTGCATTTAGTGAGATGTTTACAGATATTATGCCAACCACGATGGAAAATTTACATCACCGGGGCAGAGGCAGTCTTTGGAGGAGAAATATCTTCAATATTTAAGAAAGAAGGAGACTTCCTAAACTGGATTTGTGTTTCTTAACTCCAAGTTCTATCTTGTTATGTTTGTAATATTTTTAACATTTATCTTCAACATATGAAGAGTTTTTGTGGGTCAAATATGCATTGCACTTACGATTCTATAAAAAAGTGATAGTTAGTGGTACCCAAGACTAAATCCAGGCTAAAAATTGAGGAGGTTGAAGAGGAAAAAGAGGACATGCTTAATGCCATTGAACATGGTCCATAATCCAATTTCTTTCAAGCAAATAATTACAAGATGGAGAAGTTCAGGCTCCATGTCTTTCTAAATGAAGCATAGCTCTTTTTTTTTCTAAAAAACCCCCAAATTCAGAACTTTTCTAATCCTTTTAAGTTTAAACCATTATTCTAAATTTGTCTTATGTCATATAATACATACATTATTGTAAATATAGCATCTGTAAAGATAAGATTAAAAAAAATACATACACATATATATTATTTTTTTCACAAATGATTCAAGGCCTGCAAAGAACAAAATAAGAAGTTCAGGGAGTCCAGCCAACCGAGGGATGGGACCTGCAACTCTGGTGTACACAAGAGGCTAATGACTCGGCAAAGAGTAACTCAAACAATTTCATGCTGAGGAGATAAGTTTCTGTGTGCAAAGGAGGTAAATCTATTTTTGGAGGAGAAACAGCTTTCTGCTCTGTCCTCCAAGAACATGAAAATCACGAGTACTTTTACAAGGTCTCTAGGAATAGCCCCAGTTGTCTGACTGTGTATTAAAAAACAAAAATGCCCCCAGCAAGAGAGAAGTCTGTCTGACTCGGAAGAGAAGGTGAAAGTCAACTGGAATCCTTCCCTTTAGAAAATGCATCTACTTTTCTATAAGCTTTAGTTCTTTTAGGACACAGGGATTTTATGTCTCAAAACAAGCAAAACTGCTTCTCCAACAAGGCAAAACTTTTTGATCAACAATTGCCCGGAGGATATAACTGCAATTCGGCAAAAGCTAGGATAGTTCTCATCCTTCAGGAAGTGCCTTGGATCAAGGTCATTTCTGTTTTTGTTAAGTAAAAGTTGGGTCTAAGGCTTTTGTTCCATGAATGGTGGAGTTTTGTTTTGTATGCAAAGGATATCAGATACACTAGCTCTTCAGATTAATTAAAGCGTTCACTCTTCTCAGTATATCCAATCACTTGGCGCTTTTCAGTGGAGAGTCTCAGATGTGATTATCAATGGGCAAGACACTAGAGGGACAATAGCAATGTGACGTCTAACTTCCAAAAAGTCTCCTCTTGAGACTCGATGATTTCTGGGTGTCCCTTCTCCGGCCTCTACCTTTTCCCTGAAATGTCTCCAGACTACGGTTCACATGGCTCACGGACAAACCTATGCGAATATGGGGGCCAAGCTTTTCTCTGAAATAGGAGCTAGAAGAAAATTTGAAAAATTCTCAGATGCTGCTGGAGATATTGTATACCACATTTTAAAATATATGTTCAATTATGTTTAAGATATGGTCTATTGTAGTAAAACTGAGGGAACAGTTGGTGCTGACCTGGCCAAGACTTTCCTTTTAATGGGGAAGCTCCTCCCATAACACCTTTTCCTTATGATTAGGTGGAGTTAATAAGGCCAGGTGTGTCATTGAACCTGTGACAGGCCACAGGGTTCTGTTCCTGAAACTGATACTACACACCATCTGATTTAACTCTTTCTATTTCTCTCTTTACCATATGCTTTTTTTAGAGCTTTTGCTTCAGTATGTGACCGCCTCATCAATGTGCAGGGAGCACTTATCATCAGAGATGGTCGCCTTTTATTCCTGTACTAAGACCAAACTATTAAGAGAAATCTCTGATTGTCAATCAATGAACGCTGCGTAGAAATATGGCTCACCTTCCCCACACTTCATCAGATACCTTCTTAGTAAGATTTTTTTTTCTATCCTATGTCAGAAACTGCCACAAATACTTGTACCCATCTTCAAGCAAAGTTTGTCCTTTTGTTTCATCTCTAAACCTCAAAATCATGAAGGCAGGCTGCGATAAGCATCTAAAATGGACAAGAGGATTCCCTAGAAGACAGTCAAGATGCTAGTCAGACCTTCCTTCCTTCCTTTTCTGTCTTTCCTGCTTCTCTTTCTGTTTCTTTCTTCTTTTCCCAGTTATGAAATTTCTCATTTTATATCACGTGGTAGCTATTTTTAAGGTGCCAAACTCAATGAATGTCCAAACATGGCCCTGTGGGATCACAGTCAATTATAACATCAGGAATAAGCCTCTGTCCTTTACTAAACTCAGCCACCGTGTCTGCTATAGTCTAAGAGAGAGCAAAGGGTGATTTTCTGACAAAGAAACCTGACTACACTCAGGAATCCAGCCATCTCCACAAGACCTTTCCTAAGAAAATCCTTCTGGACATGTGGCAATGTTAAGCTTCATGGTACTCATACAATTCCTGCCTAAACTTATTATAGGTTGTCCAGCTCTTTTGGTTAAGGAACTAGCTCACATTTCAGGGTCGATGTAAAGTTAAATAAATCAGGGAGGGTGAATATAATGCAATTCCTAGCAGCATGGCCTAGAAGAATGATAGGCCACCATGAAAAAGCCAACACCATCAGAAGGTCAGAAGGGAAATAATGTGGGTCATCAAATAAAGTCTTAGCCTAGAGTTCCAGGACCAAAGTCTGCAGAGGAGCCCAAGGAGCAAATCTCCTTTCATTATGGCCAATATTTTCTATTAGAGCTTAGATGGTATCTCCAGAACATGGGTATTGCCCCAAACATCCGTCTACTTTTCCTGCCTTGCTCACTTTCACTGTATTTTACCTAAAATAGGAAGCAATCTCTGCTCAGGGGACTCTGTGGGGCAAAGGCAATGTTGTCTGAAGATTAGGGGGAGGCAGACAGGGCTGCTTGCTTTCTCCAAGCGGCTCATTGCTCTTCCATGGGAGTTAACACCTGGAGGCCCTCCTGCTTCTGGAGATACACACGCTGCTCACACTCATGGCAGAGCAGGGCCCAGCCTGTAAACAGCCAGGAGATACGTGAACCCCTCCAGCCCATGGAAGAAGAGTGAACCTGCAACCTTCTCTCCCTGGTCCCCTTGTTCCCAGCATTGATTCCCGCTACTCTTTGCTCACCCCATCGATAGTAGGCACTTTCATTTACAGTGATACTCTGAGTGACTCCCGACTGGATTCGGATGATGAGCCAGAAGGAATATGGGGTCCTGCCCTTGGAAGGGGCACAGCTTGGTTTGAGTACACACTGATGCCATGGGACAGCCATGGACGGGGGAGAGACTCTGCTCCTCGCCTCCTTCCCCGCCATCTCCCCCCGCAACTTGAAACAGCCGCATCTCACAATTACAATGCAGGACGGTATCTACAGCACAATGAATCTATGTACACATGGACCATTCCCTTGGCATGCTTCAGAGAGGGACACACACACTCACGCACATGTACACCCACGTGAGAGCCAAGACTGAGCACACGCGCACAGTGGAGAAAATCAAAACGGCACTTCCCAGCATTGGCGGCAGGACTAGCACTCTGGGGTGGCGGCGTGAAAAGAGATGGGGAGGGCAGGCAGATCAAAGGGCCGGTCTGGGGTTAGTGTGGGGAAGATGGAACGCACTGGAGGACAGAGGAGGATCTCAAACGTCGGAAGGATAGTGGAGGCAGGATGATCAGAGAAAGGCTCATGGAAGATCCCACTGATAGTCTGAAAAGGCTATGGGTCAGCTGAATGAAGAACAAAATAAAAAGATTATGGAAATATAAACACCAAAGGCAAGACCTTATTTTTTTTTCCCCCAGAGATGAAAAAGGATGAAGGAAGAAAGGATCAAGTGTGTGTAGAGGGGGTTGATACCCATCTGATACTGGTCTTATTTTTACAACATCTGGCTGTCCTCAGCATGATGGAGTCTTTACACAGCGTACATTCACTTCGTACATAGAAACAGATCCTGGTAGAACTTTCTCCACCCTGAATTATGCTTCAATTTTTATTGATGGACTGCAAAATTGTTTTAAATGTTGTATTTCCTTTTCATTTTCTTATTTCCCCCTTCATTTCTAAACACACAAAGTTGTGAAATAAACGGTCTCCTCCCATCTCTCTCTCTCTCTCTGTATTCTGTGTGACGCATTTTTGTGTGTTTTTTTTTTTGTGATTATTTTTAACTTTTTATTCTATTAACATTTGCTGAGAAGGCAGAGCAGAGATGCTGCCAGCAGCCACAGTGGTACGGCCAGACTGATGGATCCATTTATTCCTCTCACCGACCCAGGTCCTGCAGAGCAAAACAGGAAAGAAAGAAAAGAGAACAGTTACATCTGGCCCACACGTGTCACAGATGACTACTGACCTATCAGCGGGAAGCCCTGGCCGGGTTGCAGTGTCACAGATGACTACTGACCTATCGGCGGGAAGCCCTGGCTGGGCTGTAGTGTCACAGATGACTACTGACCTATCAGCGGGAAGCCCTGGCCAGGTTGCGGCATTTCAAAGTGCAGCCCAAGAGGTTCCCCAAATCATTCCTATATCCTTCTCCTTCAGCTATAAGGGGTATCACGGGTTGAAATGCTCCTAATACAAAATGCTCTTGATGGAAAGTCTCCCAACTGGCTGTCACCAATGTGTCTGATGGCGCATCAGGCCCGACCGGGCCTCCTCCTGCCTGCTCTGCCCTGCATGGCGCTGTGACGCCCTGACTCATTAAGATGCCAAGCGTTGGTGGGAGTCCGTCAGCAGCCAGACGAGAGCTCTTCCGGCCAATGCATCACAGCATCTCCATCAATAAAACCTGGGACCAATCCATGACTCCCCTCCACCCCAGGGGAGAAGCAATAAATATTTATTTGTTAATGGGGAGGAGAATTGTTTCAAAGTAACATTCACAGCTAGATGGCCCGGTAGCAAGGTAGGAAATTAGCCAGTGCACTGCAGTCTGTAGAGGCAGCAGGGGGGCCTCTGCACACTCTTCATCTGTCACTTTAAAAACCAAGAACAAAAGCCAAGACACTCACAGACATGTATCATTAGGATGTATCCATAGATTTTTTTTTTAAATGAAAAAATAAGCAAAGACAATACTGAAAAGAAACAAACCTAGAGAGGTTAAGAGACAGGTCCGAATCAGGAGCAGGACTGAGATCTGAAGCCCTGGGTTAAACCTGGAAGGTCTGGCTGAGTTTCCGGCTGTCACCCCAGGTTTCCACGTGTGGACCAGATTTGGGGGATGTGAGTGGGGGTCTGAGACGGGGAGTGGGATGGACAGCAAGGTGGGGAAGGAGCTTTGTGTTGATGAAAGAGGAGGGGGGTGGGAAAGAAATGCAGGTCCCACGGGGGGCTCGGCTCCTCCGCTTTGCTGGTCATGTTTTCTCATTTTATATAGTTCTACTCATGTTTCACTAAATGCGAAAAATTGGTATTTATCACTCCAGAGACTTTTAGATTCATGATTAAACATCATTAAACAATGATATTCAAAAGGGAAACTGATGTCACTGTAATTGTGGGTGACTTTGAAGTTCCAAGGGCACATTTGCAGATGGCTCAGCCTGTCAGAGAGTGTGTGTAAAATTACGATGGTTTGCAAGTACAATGGAGGCACCTCTGGTTTGCAAGTTCTTCTGGAACTGTTTATAAATATATTCATGTGAAGATGGGGTAACAGGGGAAAATGCTGAATTTGAGAATGGTCACCTGATTTATGTTTTATTTAAATAATAAAAGCAATAACAACAATAAAACATAACCAACAAACGATTACCTAATACTAACTACAGAATACTGTTACAAATGCTGTGTTGTAAGCACACACCCATGCCTTGATACCTCAAGGTGTCAAGCACAGCATACTATGTGCTATTATGAAAGACATACCAGAGGCCCAGAGAGGCTGACTCCGGGGTTCAGGCTGACACAGCTTGTAAGCAGAGGAGCTGGGGTCTGTCCCCAGGTGTCTGCCTCAGAGTCTTTGCCTGCCACTGCTATAAAGTGAAGTGACACAGTGAGGGGGTGCCTATGAGTCTCTTGCCAAATCTTCAGCAAGTAAAACATGGATTTCATTAAAATAGCCAGCATATCCCTGTGTGGTGGCTCACACCTGTAATCTCAATGTTCTGGAAGGCCAAGGTGAGTGGATTGCCTGAGCTCATGGGTTCCAGATGAGCCTGAGCCAGAGCCAGACCCCATCTCTAAAAATAGCCAGGCATTGTGGCAGGCACCTGGAGTCCCAGCTACTCTGGAGACTGAGGCAAGAGAGTGTCTTGAGCCCAAGAGTTTGAGGTTGCTGTGGACTATGATGCCACAGCACTCTGCCAAGGGCAAAAGAGTGAGACTCTGTCTCAAAAAAAAAAAAAAAAAGCCAGCACAAACAAAAAACAAGAAGAATACAACCACCATCTTTGCAAAAGTTATTTTCAATAGCATTTTTGACTGGAATGCCTTCCTGAGAATATTGAAAATATTAATACAAAAATATGATCATACACAAACCAAGCAGCATAGTTACTGTATAAAATGAACTATACCATGTATGACACAGAATAAAGAAGTCAAATATTCAATCAGTTAATAGGATCATATTAACAAAACCCACTTCAGTCATCTTCAGGTCCAGGAAGGAACCTCCACTGCGGTTCAGTGAGGTCACCCAGCCTGCGTGAAACACAAGATTAGTGACTGTTGGGCTGGCACTGGAGCTCAGGGTGCTTGAGTCTCAGCTCAATGCCCTTTCCAGTCCCTCCTTCCATGTTCACCCTGTAAACTTCTCAGCCCTTCAAGCTCTCTTACCGGCAACGTTATTCCTAACCTTCCAGTCTCTTTATATATTAGATGCATCAGCTCCTTGCCACATCTGCTTGCATTTATGTATCAGTGGGGCTTTCAAAACCGAGAAAAAGTGCACAAAAAGTAAAGCCACACAGGGTTCAGCACAAATGATTTCTCTTTTACACCAGGGATAGTGTGAAAGAGACTTTAAAAAAGCAATTCCTTTATTTCCTTAATCTTGTCTTTAGTGCTACGACGACAGGCTCAATTATCTTTCAGACTTCCTGGAGCTGAGTGGTGTCTGGGGAGGGCGAAGAAAATTAGTTCCGTAGCTTTATTTGGACAGTAGTAAATATCTGAGAAAGCCAACACTTCATCATTGGGAAATATAGACATCCACGAACCTGGATGTTCCCATGTCATATTCCCAGTAATGTGTGTACATACATATGTATCACACACAAAGACAAGTGTGTATGTTACATACGTATTCGTACAGACACATGATATGCACACATCCTACCGGTCTTTTAGTATACATAATTCAGAACTGTTTCTTCCACTTGCTAGTCTAGCTTTAATAGAATATGATCATAAGCTTTCGTTTTATCCTTTATAGCATTTTATATATAGTCAGATACCACATGACGTTTTTACACATACAACAGTGGTCCCCTAAGATTAAAGTACTGCATTTTGACAGTACTTTTGCTGTGTTTAGATAGGTTTATAGACACAAATACTTCCACAGTTGCTTACATTAGTCAGCACAGTAACATGCCGTAGGGGGCCAGAGTTTAGGAGCCACGTGCTATACCATATAGCTTAGGTGACTAGTAAGCTATACAATCTAGGTTTGGGTGAGTACACGCGATGATGTTCACACAACAATAAGACGTCCTAATGATGCATTTCTCAGAACAAGTCTCGGTTGTTAAGTGACACAGGACTGTATTTGAAATGCATTTTTGTGCATCTGTTAAAGATATCTTCATCTCTATCAATTATTATTTATTAAGTGCTCTCATATAGCTATTTAATGTGCTTATATGACTTGCTCTTCTCATAATTGATTTTGAGAGTAAATAAATAGGCTTGAAAAAAATATACACGGGTGAATGGGTGATAGTTGGGGAATCATCACAAGTGTGTATGCAATTACAGATATATATGACTGCATCGGAGACTACTTCAGTTAATGGCTATTCCAGGGAAGAATAATCAGCAAAATCATTAATTATGTTTTAGTTCATAGTTATGAAATTTCTGCTTATTTGTGGAAATGCAAATGAAAAACCTTATTTCCCAAGCCAGATGGCCAGGCTCAGCCAGTGCTTTTATATACTGACAGATATAATGAAAGCGAGAGTCTGCAAACATAAATTAGCCTTAAGAATAGATGGCAAATAGAACAAATTCAAAAATTCTGTGACTTGCTTTTTATATAAGAGACCAAAATAATATCTTGGTATTTAACCACATTCTATATATGTGCTATATGAATGCACACACACTGATGTATGTGGTATCTGTCTGGTAAACGTTCAGTAAATGGTATTATTACTAACATGAAAGTTTGGGTTACAGAAAGGGATGAAATATTAACTCAAATTAAAGGCACTGGTTTGGAGATGGGGTCAAGGCTTTTAATGTTGACCCTAAGAAGTAAAATTCAGCCCCGGTAAAAGTACAAACCAGGAGTCAACACATTAGCTCAAGGTTCTCAACCCCAGGGTAAAATAAGCGAGATTCTGTACCAAGGTGAATGGTGGATTGTACTTAGACGTGACAATAAGAGGGAATTTGTGAGTAAGGGTAAGATTGATTAAACATTCTTAAATTGAGGAATATGAGACTTTTTTGGGCAAGTGTCTACATTACAAATCTGCTGCAGGATCCTGAGCTAATTGATTGTTTTCCAGTAAAATCTTAAAGAAAAGACAAGGTGATTTTTTAACACCTGTTTTAGAGAACATTTGCTTGGAGACACTTAGCAATTCAAATCTAGCTAACAGTTTTCTGCTTTTCCTGAGGAGTTAGGACCCATTTTCCTAAATTTGGGACTAGATTTATTCAGCATGTCATTGATCATGTCCTCAGTTATTCTCAGCATTATTTTCATAATTATTAAGAAATCAGGGTCAATAATAACATTATTTCTATGCATAGTTCAGCCGTACACGAACGGAGGAAAGGCCAGAAAGGTTTAAGTTTGTCTTATTTTTAGAATTAAGAGCTGATCAAATAACTTAAAATATAACAAGAATGTAAACAATTTTTAAAACAATTATTAAAGGAAGGAGAATAATAATCTGCAGAATCTCCTAAATTTCTGGCTGTGCAGACTACGCACATTGGAAGCCATGTTTAAAGGGAAGTCTGATAAGTTTGACTTTGGCGCCACCTCCTGTCCATTTCTTGCCAGTACCGCTCCCTCTGGGTGAATGAGTTAGGATTAAAACCTATAAACCAAAAAAGTATTTTGAGAGAGTAAGGGAAAGGGAGAGAGCGAGC